CAGTAGAAAGGCTGCAGAAAGAGTCAGGAGCCCAGAGGAGGGGGCAAAGGAGGTGAGGGGGTGGGGGCAGAAAGTGGAATTGAAAGCAGACAACAGAACATTGCTAGAGAGCAGGAAAGGTGGTGAAAGGAGACAATTTTAGAGAATAAAATTTTTGGGTCGCTACCCGGATTCGAACCCGGGACCTTTGAATGAAATGCCAACACCTTAACCTCTAGGCCACGAGAGCCCCCTGAGTCTTAGTTAACAGTGAACAGCTTTCAGAGTCTGTTGGACATCCACGTCTTAGAGCCGCCAGCAAAGACCCTAGAAGGTGATCCAGAACGAATGGACTTGTTCTTCTTCTGTCACACGACAGGGAGACAGTTCTCAGAATAACCTCATCTATCGTTATTTCACTTTCTTCTGACCATGTTTTAAAAAATTCTAGCTGACTGAGGAATTTACCAAAACCCACGAAACTCTGCATGGCACTTCTGAAGGCCAGCGACCAACAAAAAAGTGTTTTCTTTTAAATCTTGACCAGGTAATAAAAACGTTTTTCTCTTTGGGTCCTATTTTTTTTTAAAACCACGCTTTGGATGCATACACAGGATCACTAAAATAAATTACTTACAGTAACCTTGCCCACAAATGGCTCATTTTGAGACAGCGACACCACCCTGCCCCACATTTCAGTGTAAGCTTGTAGATTTCATCCCCCGGCTGTCTAGACGTCTCCACGTGCTCCACGTGAGTCTCGAAAAATACTCTTTTGAATCGTGTTTCTTAGGCGAATGTTGAAGTGTGGTGTTGAGGAAAAAATGTCAACTTTTCAATGTTGTAGGTGTATGCTGTATATCCCCAATTATTTTTTTCCCGTTTTAGGCTTCTATTAAAGAAAACGTGTCGGAACCTTAGTTTGCAGTGACTTTTATAATTGGCGTTTTAGATTCTGTTGGTCGCTTCACTTTTAGACCCGCATGCAAAGACCCAGAAAGATTAAACAGAGCGATTTGTTTCAATCCCGTTATAACCGCCGTCAGACCAAGGTAGAACACCTGTAATCTTGTAAATAACAGACCAAAGTATAACACCTGTAATCTTGTACAAGGTACAACACCTGTAATCTTGTAAATAACAGACCAAAGTATAATACCTGTAATCTTGTACAAGGTACAACACCTGTAATCTTGTACAAGGTACAACACCTGTAATCTTGTACAAGGTACAACACCTGTAATCTTGGCCACAAATGACACGAATAAAGACGCACGTGCGCATATTACTCACCTTGTTGACGATGAAGGGGCAGGAGTCCGGGTCTGTGAGCAGTGCCTGCACGTTCTGGCGAGTGGTGTAGAGCTGTGAGTACACGGGGATGTAGGAGATGAGCACCGAGGCCACCCACGTGACCCCCAGCATGAGCAGCGCACGTGGCCGAGTCATCTTGCTCTCGTACTGGAGCGGGTGGAGGATGGCGATGTATCGGTCCATGCTGATGCAGCACAGGTGGATGATGGAGGCGGTGCTGAACAACACGTCGTTGGCGTTGAATATGTCACACATAGTACGGCCAAACACCCACTTGCCTGAGATCTCCATGCTGGCGCTAAATGGCATGACCAAGATGGCCACTAGCAGGTCTGCGAAAGCCAGGGAGACAATGAAGAAGTTGGTGATAGCGCGGAGTCTCTCAAAACGTAGCACACCTGATGACGACACACAAAAATAGCACACCACATGATGGCCGCCATTGCCATGCCACGGAGCACCAGGGCCACAGCCGCCCAGGGGTTCACTTCCGGGTCATCGAGGTCAAGGTCGAAGTCAGAGAGGGAGAAGTTTCCGGTGTGGGACAGGTTGTGGCGTGCGGGGAATGGGCGCATGTCGTGGGTGTTGTTGTCGTTGTGGTTGTCGTTGTGGTGGTTGTTGTGGTAGTTGTTGTGGTGGTTGTTGTGTTGGAAGTTGTGGTTGTCGTTGTGGTAGTTGTTGTGGTGGTAGTTGTGTTGGAAGTTGTAGTTGTAGTTGTGGTGGTGGCTGTTGTAGTTGTTGTTGGCGTTGTGGTTGTTGTTGTGGTAGTTGTGTTGGAAGTTGTAGTTGTGGTAGTTGTTGTGGTGGTTGTTGTAGTTTTTGTTGTAGTTGTTGTGGTAGTTGTGGCAGTTGTTGTGGTGGATGTTCTGAGCGGTTGTTGTTGTTGTTGTTGTCGTTGTGGTGGTTGTTGTAGTTGTTGTTGTAGTTGTTGTAGTTGTTGTGGTTTTTGTAGTTGTTGTTGTAGTTGTGGTGGTTGTAGTAGTTGTTGTTGTAGTTGTGGTATTTGTTGTATTTGTTGTTGGAGTTGTGGGGGTTGTTGTAGTTTTTGTTGTAGTTGTGGTGGTTTTTGTGGGCGGTTGTTGTAGCTGTGATGGTTGCTGTGGTTGTTGTTGTGATGGTTGTGGTAGTTGTTGTGTAGTTGTTGTCGTTGTTGTGGTGGTTGTTGAGGTGGTTTTGCTGGTGTTAGTTGTGGTGGTGGTTTTGGTTATGTGGTAGTGATGGGTGTCTCTCTATGTCTATATATCCGTGTGTTCATATATCCAAGAATGTATATAGATCCGTGCGTACATAATATATCCAAGGCTGTCTGTGTATCCGTGTGTTCATATATCCATGAATATCTATAGATCAGTGTGTTCATATATCCATGAATGTCTATAGATCAGTGTGTTCATATATCCATGAATGCCTATATATATCAAATACTATATTATATCCGTGTGTTCATTGATCCAAGACTGTCTACATATCCGTGTGTACATATATCCAAGAATTTCTATAGATCCGTGTGTATATATATCCATGACAATTTGTTTATCCGTATGTTCATCTTTCCTAGACTACATTAAATCCTTGTTTTCATATATCAATAAATATCTATAGATCCTTGATTTCATATATACATGAATGTCTATATATTCATGTGTTCATATAGCTATAAATATATACGTGAGTTCATATATACATGGCTGTATATAATATATA